GAAAACAGACATGAGAGGGTTTTGCGGGCGTCCGAGGAGCCGCTGTCGGGCCCGAGGACTCTCAGAAAGCGGTCCAGCACAGCATACTGGTCCCCGAGGATGGGTAGGTCGGAAAAACCGGGGTCCCAACTTCAAACATACAAAGCAAGGCATCGAGAATAGAAGAAACAAAAGCTGCATAAACATTAACTGTTGGCGCTCCGCGCGGATTTGTTGGATCCGCGCCGGACCCCGGAGCGCGCCAGAGGCGGCACCGGAGGCGCTGCCAGGGGGGGCCCAGCGCGGATCCAAGACACCCGCGCGGAGCGCCAAAAGTTCATAAGTTTATGCCAGCCGTTTGTTCTTCTTCCCAGTCCTATTGGTATTCTGCTTCGTCTGTTCCTGCTTCTTCTTCTTCCCAGCCTTTCTAGTGTTCTTCTTCGTCTGTTTCTTCTTATTGCTTTTCTTGTTATCACTTTTCTTATGTTTCTTCTTCTTAGAAAGAGAGGTAGAGAAAGAGAGAGAGAGAGAGAGAGATCCGCTGAGGTCGATGGCACAGATGCGCGGTGATTTTTATGCAGCCCGCACCCCCACACCCCGCCCAGCACCGGCGCCCGCGCGCGCAGCCCACGGCCGGCCGGGCCCCGCGGGGAGGGCGGCAACGATAGAGGAACACAAAGAACGCATAGGCACAACGCCTCGTCGTCGTCGTCGTCGTCCTCCTCTTCGTCGTCGTCGTCGTCCTCGTCGTCCTCCTCGTCCTCGTCGTCCTCGTCGTCGTCGTCGTCCTCGTCGTCGTCGTCGTCGTCGTCATCCTCGTCGTCCTCGTCGTCGTCGTCGTCGTCGTCATCCTCGTCGTCGTCCTTGTCGTCCTCGTCGTCCTCGTCTTCGTCGTCGTCATCATCCTCGTCGTCGTCGTCCTCGTCGTTCTCGTTGTCGTCGTGGTCGTCGTGGTCGTCGTCGTCGTCGTCATCCTCGTCGTCGTCGTCCTCGTCGTCCTCGTCGTCGTCGTGGTCGTCGTCGGCGGCGGCGGCATTGTCGAGGTCGTCGCCGTCGTTGCCCCCCTTCAGGGTCGGCGGCATCGCCCGGGAGGCCTTCGCAATCTTGCCTGCACCCACCCTCCGGGTCAACCCCTGAGATCCGACGTTGCAAAAAATGGCAGCATCGCAAAAAAACACGACCGGAGCGCCAGACCCCATCCCTCTGCGTCATCCTTCGAGCCGGATCGATCTGTGAGGAGCCTAGGGCCCGACGTTGATTGAGCAGGGACCGACCGTCCCGGCATTCCTACAGGCCTCCCGCGAGATTCTCTTACAACCCAAAAATGGACTAAGAACAAAAAAAAGAGTTCTTAGAACACCAACCCGATGTGCTAAACCAAGACAGTCCCAGCCAGAAATGCTCCAAGAACATGTCGGGCAGACCACACACGAGGCTCTCAGAACATGGTTTGGTGGGCCCATAAGCGAGCCAGGACGCTTCGCCACTGCTCGAGTCCTGGAGCCCGACATTGAGCCAAAACGCCCGGTGTGAAAACATTGGCGACGCCAGGATCCCAGGGGTCCCCGCGCGGATGTTTCTTGCTTCATCGGCTATAGACGCCAGGGTGACCCCGGGTAAGAGTGACCTTTGGGGCGCGGCTTTTTGGGGGGGCCGCGGGGGGACCAAACATGGGCGCGCAAGCCGCTGCTCCTGCTTCGTTCTCAGCCATCTGGGGGCCCATCCGTGCCCGCACCAGAGGCCACTCCGGCGAAAGGTCGCCCTTGCGTCTGGTCGATTTGCATCGGCGCAAGGGCCCCGGGAGGCGGCGCGCCGGTCCAAGCCATATCCGCGCGGATGCCTCCGCGAGAACTCCCTGTGCTCGGGTCGGGCACGCCGGCTCGCGCCGCATCGCCGACGCATCGGCGCTGCATCGGCGACGTCGGCGTGGGGAAACACGGGCTCCACATCGAGCTGCATCGTCGATGCATCGGCGATGCGGCGCGATCCTCCGACCGCATCTACTCGGACCCCATCTGGGAGGCCCGGGCCCGGAAGCTTCCTGCGCTCAGGTCGGGCATGTCCTCCTACAGGCGGAGTTTTGGACGAGAAATAAAAAAGGGTCTAACAAATATACAAAAATAGCCAAAAATGGTCCGAGAATCGTCCCCCGACTATTTCCGACTACTTGAGGATAGTCCCCCCTGCAGATGGACATGCCCGACTCAACACCGTGCCTATGCCGCTCTTTGCTCTTCGAGGCGCGAAGGCGAGGAGACCGGCAGATCACCATCTCACCTTCTTCTTCGCCGGCTTGTCGGCGGCCCGGGCGGGGGCCGCGGCCAGGCCGCCAGCGGCGCCCGCCATCGAGACCCGCATCACCGAGGAGTCGACCTTCGGGGCCCCCACCTCCAAAGAAGTCGAAACGGCACAGACGTACACGCTCGTCGGCGGCGAGCGGGGGGGGGAAGTGAGAAGGAGAAGGCCTTCTCAGAAGGCGGCCAGACTTCTCGCGAGCCCTCGCGCCCTCTGAGAAGTCTGTTACGTCTGCGTCCGAGAAAGCTCCGAAAACTTCTCGGAAGGCCGTGGGATTTCCGGGCCTTCTGGGGAGGACTTCTCCTTCTCACTCTCCCCCCCCCCCGCGCGCCGCCGAGCTCGGAGGTCAGCGCGGGCTACTTCTTGGATCGGCGCTGGACCCGCCGGAGCGCACCCTCGTGCTGGTCGGGCCCACGTGCCAGCGCAAAGTTCGCGCTGGTCCAGAACAGAAACAGCAACTTTTGCCTTCAAATCTGCGCTGGCCCAGAAAAATGTCAGCGCAAGTTTGACTGCGTTTCCATTGCAAATTATTCCCTGGACGACCCTCTGGGCCCCACCGCGGGGGCGCGCGGGGGGCGAGCCGGGGGCGGCGCTCCAGAGGCGCCGCCAGGGGGGCCCATCGCCGATCCGAGAACTCTCTGCGCGGAGCTCCGAAAGCGCAGGATGTTGCTTATTCTTCTTCTTCTTCTCCTGCGAGCCTCGTCGCCCGACTCCCCGTACATGGCCTCGGGGGGGGGCACAGACGTTGAGCAGGGACCGACCGTCCCGGCATCTCTACAGGCCTACCACGACATGTCCTTAGAACATGGACCCGATGTGTTAAAACAGAGAAGCCCCAGCGCCAGAAACGTTCCAATAACATCCCGTGCAAACCACGAGAGGCTCTCAGAGCATTGCCTGGCGGGCCTGCAGGCACGCCGGGACGCTCCGCCGCTGCCTGACGACGGGCTGCTGCAGTCACCGTGCGGCGGCGAGGAGCGCTGGGGGGGCGCCTCTGCTGGCCGCGGCCGGCCCCGGCCACAAGCGGGCTCCCCGACCTGCGTGCAGGTCTGCACGTCGGTCGGGCAGGCAGCGGGCCAGCACATGGAGTGAGACGGCGGGTGACGCCGACTGGGCTCGGGCCCTCGCGGAGGCCAACAAACACGTTTTTCGTCAGCGGCGAGGCGGCGCACTCCGCTCCAGCGAGAAGCTGGAAAAGGGGCACCAACTAGCGAACTGGCCGGCGGGCAACGAGGGGCGGGGCGGCCGAGAGGAAGAAGGGACGCTCAGACGTCGAAGAGTTCGACGATGAGCAGCCGGCCAACAAACACACACAGCAGCAGCATAGCGATTCTTGAAGCAGGACGGCGCGTTTGAAGTACACTGGGAGCTGGGGATCCAGAATTATCTACTTTCAACGACTGGCGTGTAATCCGCCGACCCTATCGGCGTGTAGAAGGCACTCTTCCGTTCGTCGTCGTCGTCGTCGTCGTCGTCGTCGTCGTCGTCGTCGTCGTCGTCGTCGTCGTCGTCGTCGTCGTTCCCCCCCTTTCCCTGGGCCCTCCTCCTCAAGCGCGCCAGCCAAAGCGAAATTAAGCAACGTCGTAGTTGAGTCGAAGGGAAGCCCCTTCCCTTTGATCCCGCCCCGCCAGGGGGGGGGGGTCGCGGGAGGGGTCCCGGGGGGGGGGTCCCGGGTCAGACTGCCATCCCCCCCGAGGTGGTTTATGGGCTCCGAACAAAAACCCAAGACGGTCCAATAGTGCCACAAAAGCTCCCAAGACGGTCCAAGAGAGCCCCGAATCGCCGAACGATCGTTCCAAGGCGCCAAAGGTGGCCTCCAGACTGCCCAAGGGCCTCCAAGACGGCCTCCAAGAGCAGTCCCCAGAGGGCCTCCAGAGGCGAAATCAACCGATCTTCCTGGGATGTTTGAAAGATTCTGGCGTTCTCGCCTTTTCCGCTTCACGACGCTCCAAGAAAGCCGAAGAGACTCCCAAGATCGACCCAAGACGGCCCAAGAGGCCTCCAAGAGGCCCCAAAACAGCCCAAGAGGGCCCCAAGACGGCCTAAGACGCCTCCAAGACCGCCCAAGAAGCTTCGAAGATTGCTCCATGAGGGTGCCCAGACGGGGGACCCCAACGGACATTTCGAGCTCTTGGCTCCGAGAGGCTCCCAGGAGGCCCCGAGGAGCCCCCAAGAGGCCCCAAGAGGGCCCTCAGATGCTCCCAGAAAGCCCCAAGAGGCCCCAAAGAGGTTCCCCAAATGCCCCCAAGAGACTCCCAAGAGGCCCCCAAACTGCTTGCCAGAAGCTCCCGAGAGCGCTCCGAAGAGACCGCCAGAAGAATCCCTGAGGACTCCAACCCACATCAGCGTCGTCGTCGTCGCCGCCGTCGTCGTCGTCGTCGTCCTCATTCAGGGTCGGCGGCACCGGCCGTAAGGCCTTCGCAACAGATGGCCCGAAGAGCAAGGCCCCTCATCAGCCCAAGGCGATCCCTATTGCACACGACTGCACTTCAGAACCAGCCCTGGCCACGTCCACAAGACAAAGCCAGGACGACAAACACATGGGGTGAGGACAAATCGAGAACCTCTGGGATCCGGCGGCTCTGGAGGATGCTAGGGCGCCGCGACCTTCTCAGAGCTTTCCGGAACGCTCTGAGAGCGTTCCGGTACGCTCTGGATCGAATTAATCTGAAGGGGCCCTGGGAAAAACAAATAAATAGACACAAATAACAGGATGTCCCATATTTTCATATTTTTTGTGTTTTTTTCTTCCCCCTCACTTCCAATATTTTCGTATATTTTCCTGGGAATCGACGATTCATTGTGTCTGTGTGTTTTTCCCTCCTGATAATCTTTGCACTGGCCCTGTCCGAGGCCAGCCTGGCCAGGAGACTGGTGTTGGCCTGTGGCTGGCACCCCCCGACGGCCTTCGCGAAGATCTGCTGGATCTTCCTCTCCAGCGCCCCGAGCTCGCGAACCGCCGGGGCGATGGACGACAGGTGCTTGGAGGACGTGGCGGCGGAAGACTCGCTCTTCTTCATGCCGTAGACCACGGCCTTCGGCTCGACGAGCTTGCGCTTCTGCGCGCGCCGGCTGAGAGGCTCCTCGGCGGGAGGGCGAAGAGCACTGCACGCCACTGAGGAGAAGAGAGAGACCCTCTTCCTCCTCCTCGCTCCTCCTCCTCCTCCTCCTCCTCCTCCACTTCCTCCTCCTCCTCCTCCTCCTCCTCCTCCTCCTCCTCCTCCTCGAAAGCTGGTTAGGAAAAGGCCCCGGGGGGGCCCAGCGGAGAGGACTATTTTTGTCACCGCGAGTGGCTTCCACAGGCCACCCGCGGGCAAGCGACAGGGCCCCCTCCCAGGAGAAAAAACGATCGCCCGCTTCTGTGGGATCGGAATCGATCTCTTCGGCCTCCTTCTGCCGCAGCTTCACGCCGAGGGAGCGGGTGGAGGGCGAGGAGGAGGGGACGGTGGGCCATGGCGAGAGGATTCGGAGTCCCGAGACGGTGCGGTGACGGACCGCGCGGTGACCTAGACATCCCGCACGGCCTCACCGCACGGTGCGTCACCGCACGGTCTTGGGACCCTTGAGGCCCCTGTCGCCCGCGACGTCCTCGGAGAACGACCCGAGTCCCGAAACCGTGTGGTGACCCCGAATCCCCACCGGCTCACCGCACGGTGTGGTCACCACCCCGATTCGGAGGCCCCCGAGAGGAGGAGAGGGGAGAGGGGGGATGCTCCTGGTTCTCGTCGGCCGGAGCAGTCTTCTTCTTGCCCCCGGGGAGCGGGCTGTCCAGGACGCCCTCGACGCTCAGGTCGGCGGGGTCCATGACCAGCATGGGCATGCCGATGCGCTTCTCCACCTTGCTTTAGGGCGGGCACGGCCTCCTACAGGCGGATTTTGGAAGAAAGATATGACAACACTCCAAACATAGTCCAAACATAATCAGAAGAGCACGAAAAATTGCCCCTGGACTGTCATCTTCCTACTTTCAAATATTCCTCCTGTAGAGGAACATGCCCGACTTAAACCTTGCTCAGGATGTCGAGCTCGTCGTACCAGATCGTGCAGCCGCCCTCGTCCACCCACCACTTGCCGTCGTCCGCCGCTGCTAGCTTCCCGTCCTTCTCGAAGGGGATCGTGAGCTTGGTGTTGCCCGGCTTCGGCAGGCAGTTCTTGCCCCTGGAGGGGCACTTGTGGTACCACACCTTTCGAGTAGGGGATCGACTACAGAATTGATTTACCCCCAAACTGACTTTCCCGCCGAATCGATGAAACAAATACGTAGAATGTCCCGTAGATCTACGAGCACACACGCGCTTCGTGTTTATATCCGGCGGGAAGATCAATTCTGGAGTAAATCAATTCTGTGGTTGCTCCCCTATCCGAACCTTCTCCCTCTGGGACGCGACCAGCGATATTGCCAGGCCGAGCCTCTCGGCACGGCCGCACCGCCCGATGCGGTGTATGTAGTTCTCAATGTCGTCCGAAAGCGTCATCTGTATTACGAACGGCAGGCCCGCGACGTCGATCCCGCGTGCCGCGACGTCGGTGCAGATCATGAAGCGGACGTCGCCATCCTTGAACGTCTCCAGGTTTCTCTGCCTCTCCTTTCCAGACCGCCCTCCGGCCAGCACGACGCAGGAGTACGGGTTCTCCTTGCCCGACTCCACCTTGGCGCCGAAGCCCTTCTTGACGCCGCCGAGCCTGCAGAGGTACTCCTCCACAAGGTCGACCTCGATGTTCGTCCTGCAGAACACTAGGCACTGGCTCATCTTGAAGGCGTCCGCGAGCTTCACTATCATCTTCGGCTTCATCTGCTTGATCTTGTCCGACATCCGCAGGGCCGTCGGGTGCTTCTGGTCCAACTCCGACATGGACGGCTTGGAGTGCACGCCGTCCGAGGGCGGCTGGACCTCCGGGAACTTGGCGTGCTCCGCGAGCTGCGCGTCGGACCAGGGCAGCTCCTGGGCAAGACCAGTCTGCATCACATCGGGAAATTGGATCGGATCGAAGCGACCGTCGAATCGGGCTTCAACGGCTGGAAGCCGATATCAAATCGAATTGGCCGTGCCCAGATACACGGCTGCGCTGAGCCAGCATCGGGCCGCATCCGACCGCCAAGGAGTCGACATCGAATCGGATCCAGCCGGGTGAACTCGACATCGAATCGGACCGATCGAACGGGCATGGACCCTGCCTGAGCGGGGTCTATGAAGTAGACGGCGTGGTGCAAGTGCTCGGGCACCGCGTCCTTGCCCTTCAGGTCCACCCACACCGGGTTGGTCGTTATCTCGCTGATCATCCCCTTGACCTCCGGGGTGTGCAGGGTCGCGCTGAAGAAGAGGGTCTGGACGCGGTCGCGCCGGCCCCTTTTAATCTGCTGGCTCAGGCCCGGCAGCTCCTTCTTGTCGTCCTGCGGCGGCGCGCCCGGGGGGAGGGCAATACGGGGCGGGCCGTCCCGAAAGTATCAGAAGGCCTCCGGCCTTCTGAGAGCAGCACTCGGCGCCCTATCCGAAGGCAGAGACCGCTTCTCTGAAGGACGGAGGCCTTCTGAGAAGCCCCGCAGCCTTCCGAGAAGGCCTGCCCCCTCACTCCCACCCCAGGCGCGCCGCCGAGTCCTTCTTCTGGAGGTCGTCGGCCTCGTCTAGGACCAAGAACTTGATCTGCGAGACGTCCAAGTGCCCCTTGCGCACGTGGTCCAGAGTCTTCTGCAGCGTGCCCACCACGATGTCCGTGCCCTGCTTCAGCTCGCGGAGCTGGTCCGCGTCGTCCTGCCCTCCCACCAGCAGCGTGATGCGCACCTTCGGGCTGTCCAGGTGCTTGTTGAACTTGACCTCGATCGGGCACGCGCCAACATGAATGAGGGATCCGTAGAGCTGGCGCGTGGGCTCCAGATCTACGGATCGGGGAAGGGTGCCCCCCCGATGCATGGCGCCAGTGTTGCCTGACTTGGCGACGCTGCGGGTTGGTTGCGTATGCAACGGGGCCCGTCGAGTCTCCACGCGCCTTGACCCATGTTCGTGGGTCCTCGACTCGAGGAGAGAGACCCCGATCCGAGCTGATCCGTCGCCAGCCGCCCCAGTACACCGGCACATCCCAAAGCGCGAGGCAGCCTGCAGATCGAAGGCTCGATCTGCCGCCACGATAGCCGGATCACGACGGATGTGGGCCAGGTCGGCGGCCTGATCGAGACCTCGCGCGCATGTGCCAGGGCCCCCGAAGCCCCCATCCCAGACCTCGGACAGTCGTCGTGGTACCATACAGTGGAGGCCAGTCCACGAGAAGCCTTCCACAAGTAACCCAACTCTGAGACCCCAGGACGTCCATTGATTCTTTGGTGTGGTAGAGTCGCGCTTTCCTCAGCCAAACCCTCGAGCCCAAAGAAAAAATCCAGGGCACCCTGGAGGCAAGCAGGGTGGTTCTTGGCCTGGGCCCCCACTGTCAGGAGCAGGAGGAGAAGGAGGGTGAGTGAAGAGGAGGAGGAGGAGGAGGAGGAGGAGGAGGAGGAGGAGGAGGAGGAGGAGGAGAGGAGGAGGAGGAGGCGGAGGAGGAGGAGGAGGAAGAGAAGCAGGAACGCCGAACAAGGAGCGAAAGGGCCTTTTGGCCACGGCCAGCCTGGGCACCGAGCAGGCCGCCAGACCCAGATCTAAGGAGAGACCAAAACACATTAAACATCAGAGCCCCTCGTCCACCAGGGAGGAGGAGGAGGAAGAGGAGGAGGAGCAGCAGGAGGAGAAGGAGGAGGAGGAGGGAGAAGGAGGAGGAGGGGAGGAGGGGAGGAGAGGAGGAGGAGGAGGCGGAGGAGGAGGAGGAGGAGGAGGAGGAGGGGGAGGAGGAGGAGGAGGAGGAGGAGGAGGAGGAGGAGGGCAGGAGGAGCAGGAGGAGCAGGAGCAGGAGCAGGAGCAGGAGGAAGCAGGAGAAGGAGGAGGAGGAGGAAGGAGGAGGAGGAGGCGGAGGAGCGAGAGGGGAGTAGGAAGGCGGAGGAGGAGGAGGAGGAGGAGGAGGATATGTCTTTGTCTCAGCATCTTCACTGTACGATCCCTCTTTCACCTCCACCCCCTTCCCGTCTTCTTATTGCAGGCTGGACCATGCACTTGAAGGTCTGGTCCGCGAGGTCGCGTGTGGGCTCCTGCAGGCAAGAGGCACGATGCGGACGTCAGATTGCGTAAGGGACGGGCATGACGGGGAGGGAGATCATGCCGAATGTGTGTACGACTCCTCCTCTTCCTTTCCCCCGTCCTCCTTCTCCTCCTCCTCCTCGTCCTCCTCCTCGTCCTCCTCCTACCATCCTCTTCCTCCTACTCCATTATCTCTCTCTCTCTCTCTCTCTTATATATGAATAACTGCTCCCTGTCGCACCCACAGACGCGTCGGTAGGGCGGGCCAGACATGTCGCCTCAGCCCCCCTCGCAATGTGTGATCCTGATGCTTGGAATTTGCACCAGCTTCACGGATGGAGGGTTGGCCGTGTTCAAAGTGTGGCTCTCGCCTTAGCTCCGCGCACATTCGTCTCACGAGTTCTCTGCGGTGTCACGGATGGAAGGCGGGTCGTTTTCAATATGTGGCCCTCGCCTTCGCGCCGCGGACATCGTATCACAAGTTCGCAACAACTTCAAGGATGCTGGGTGGTTCCTATTCAACATGTGTCTCTCGCGTTGGCGCCACGCACAGTCGTTTTAAAAGTTTGATGCGGCTTCCTGGATGGAGGTCGGCTCCGTTTCAAAGTGTGGCTCTCGGTCTAGCGCCGCACCCAAGAAGTTGTGTTCTGGCCCTACTTAGGATTGTCAGGACCTAGCAGCCCAATTGATTCGGGTGTTGAGATCCCAGAAACGGCGTGTTCTGGCCAGATATCGGATTGCCAGGACGCAGCAGTCACGTTGACCCGCGGCGCTGACGTCTCAGGCGCGGAGTTCTGGCACGATTGAAGATTCTCAGACGGTTGTCTTCTGATGGGTCACTTCCCGCAATGCAAATTCGCCAGCCCAACGGGCCAGAGGCGTGCTGAAATACCCGGTAGAGTTGAATAACGTTTCTAACCCGTGGCGGCCCCAGGGCCCCCGCGCGAAAAGTAAATATCCTGGCTAGGTCCTGGCAGGTTCGCCGGTTTCCGGCAGGTCCGGGTCAGAGCTGCTGGAACTCCTGGGCACGGCCTCGGGAGTCCCCGGAGCGCCCCAGTGAGGCGCCAAGTGGGTGGCAGGCCCCGTGGCCTCGTGCGAAAAAAACGTTCCAGGATGACCCACGTTGGTCCAAAGACGGCCCAAGAAGCGCCCAAAACGCCCCAGGAGGGCTCCAAGTGGACTCCGAGACGCCCCAGAGACACTCAAATTATTAATTTAGCAAGGGTTTCCGGCTGCCCACCGCCCTGCACGGCCCGAGAAGCCACCAAGATCGCCCCAAGACAGCCCGAGAGACCCCCGGGACGGCCCCGAGACGGCCCACGAGAACCGCAAGCCAGCCCAAGTGATGGGCCTGTTTTCCACCACCACCATAAGTTGGATGGGGGGAAGGAGGAGGGCGATGAGGAGGACGACGAATAGGAGGACAAGGAGGAGGAGGAGGAGGAGGAGGAGGAGGAGGAAAAGGACCCCCTCCCCCTCCAACTTATGGTGGTGGTGGTGGGAAACAGGCCCATCACCGAGAGGTCTTCCCGGAAGCGCCCCAAGAGGGGGAACTCGACCCGACATATCGAGCCTTCCCTGAAAGTTCGCGCCCGCGGCCGCCAGCCACCCAAGAAGCCATTAAGGTGGCCCGAGTTGGTCCCAAGACGGCCCAGCAAGCGCCCAAGGCGCCCCAGGAGGGTTCTAAGAGGGCTTCGAGACGCCCAGAAGACGCGCGAATCATCGATGTCGTATGGGTTTTCCGACGATTCTGGCGGCACCGCCTTTTCGAGCTGCCGACCGTCCTGGACGGCCCAAGAGGCCACAAAGATCGCCCCAAGTCAGCCCGAGAGACCCCCAGGACAGCCCTCAGACGACCTACGAGAACCCCAAGCCGGCCCAAGAGGTCTCCCCAGAGGGCTCCCGAGGCTCCCGCGAGCGCCCCGAGAGGGGGAACTCGAACTCCGACGTGTCGAGCCTTCCCTGAAAGCTCGCGCCCGCGGCCGCCAGCCACCCAAGAAGCCATTCAGATGGCCCCGAGCTGGTCCCAGCGCGGCCCAAGATGCGCCCAAGGCGCCCCAGGAGGGCTCTGAGAGACTAGGAGGGCTTCGAGACGCCCCGAAGGCGCGCGCATCATCGATGCCGGCCCAAGCAGCGCCCAAGATTTGGACACCCGAAATGGGTACCGAAAGAATGGGTACAATGCCCAACAACAAATGCTGTCCCAGACCAACAGCGGCCGCTGTTGGGCAGGCGGCCTTCTGTCTCGAATGGACACAGGCCGCGGCGGCGCGGACAGCGAGTCCTGTTCCAAAATGAACAGGAACTGCTGTTGGGTATCGTACCCATTCTTGGGGGGCGGAAAGATACGGATACGTGTTGTCCCCGGACCGCTCTTGGGGTGCGTTCTGACCAGAATTTCGAGGCGAGTCCAGCGGTGACAACGAGGATTCCCCAGGAGGACCAGGAAAAGCCGAAAACGAAGGGGGACACCACGTATCCGTATCTTTCTCTCCCCCGACATTCTTTCCGTGCCCATCTCGTTCGTGCAGACAAGATGCCCTAGGAGGGCTCGAGGAGCCTCCTCGAGCCCTCCTGGGGCATCTTGTCGGACCCCCTGTTGCACCTCCCGTTGCACCCTCCTCGAGCCTCCTGGGGCTCGAGGAGGGTGCAACGGGAGCCTCCTCGAGCCCTCCTGGGGCTCGAGGAGGAGGAGGAGGCGGGCCCCCCTGTTGCACCTCCCGGGCGCCTCGGAGGAGGTCTCCGAGGCGCCCCGGAGGTGCAACACACGTCGATGCCCCGCGGGTGTGCTGGCGATCCCGGCGGCGCCGCCTCCTCGGGGTGTGCAGGCCGCCGTGGGTGGCCCATTGGGGGCCTCCGAGGTCGCCCCCGGTTAGAGCCTCCGTGCGTGGCGAGGGGCAGGAAGGACAGGGGAGCGACGGGGGGGAGGGAGGCGAGGGGCAGGAAGGACATAGACGGGGGGGAGGGAGGTGCCGACATAGGGGCAGAGAAGCTAATCAAGCGAGGTGGACAGAGCGCGAACGAGTGGGATATCTATATATCTATATATATATATCTATATATATATGTGTGTATACACACATATATATATACATGTATGCAAATGTATATGTATATGTATATATATATATGTACAGATGTATGTATGCCTAGAGATATAACTATAAATCGAGCGAGGGGGATACATGGAGAGAGAGGGAGAGAGAAAGAGAGAGAGAGGAGAAACAGAGAGACAGAGAGAGGGAGATACAGAAATGAAGAAATAAAGACAGACAGAAAGAAAGATAGAGAGAGACATGAAGAAATGAACAAAGAAATCAAGACAGAAAGACAGAGAGAGAGAGGAGAGAAGAGATACGTCCGCCGACGCCGGACGAGTTTCACTGGGCCAGGGCAAAGCTTGACCGATGTTCTCGAAGGTTCGGCGATCCGGCCAGATGTCCAATGTGGCCGATTCACCGGTGGAGGGGAGGGCGCAGCCAAGTCTGAACGCTGCACGGCCTCAGCTGCACCGCCGCACACTGGCCTGGCTGGCGGAGCGGACCGGAGAAGGAAGAGCGGAGGCGAAACGGGAAAACCGACCTGGCCACCGATACGGATCCCCACGGGAACGTATGTCAGCGTGTCGGCCGACGCTGGAGGGAGATCTTCCGACCCCGGAGGACCCGAGGTGCAGACGAGCCGGCGACATCTGGACGCACTCTCTGGGGGGCACTCTTGGCGGAGTCCTTCGGGCTGGTAGCCCACGAGGGCCTCCGAGCTCTGCGAGGACAGTCCTGCACTCTGTCGGGCCTCCAGGTAGCCTTCCGCAACCCTCTGAAAATCTCAGGGCGCGTCTCGAAACCCTGCTGGAGCTCTGTTGAGCCACCACCAACCAACAATGATGCGAAATTGGCTCGCGGAATGAGCGAAGCGATTTAACAAGTTCCTTAAGGTACCTATTAGGAGGGAGCTTGGATGGAGGGTGTATGGCAACATTGTTGATGGATCTTGGGTTTACTTTGGTCCTCCTCTTCCTCCGACTCGTCCTTTCCTCCCTTCTCCCTGCTCCTCCTCTTCCTCATCATCATCATCCTTTACTACGGCCTCCTCCTCCTCCTCCTCCTCCTCCTCCTCCTCTTCCTACTCTCTTGTCCTCCTCCTCCTCCTTCCTCGCCCCCCCCCAAAAAAACTCCATCCTCGTCGCCCTCTCCCTCCTCCTGCACCAGGGCGGCAGCCCCACCGCCCCCATCCCCACCTCGACGGTTCGAAGACTGGGCCTTGAGGGATGGGGCCTTGAGGGATGGGGCCTTGAGGGATGGGGCCTTGAGGGATCGGCCTTCGAAGATTGGATTTTGAGGGAATGGCCTCAAACAGTGAAGGCTCAGCTTGGGACTCCCTTCCTAACCTCCGGGGCCCCATCCCTCAGGGCACTGCCCCTGAACCGCCGACCCCCTCTCCCGAGCGGCAACGCCAGGGGGGGACCAGCTCGGGGGGGGAAACCGGAACCTGGAATCGGCGACATCGCCGATGGATCAGCGATAGTGCTGGGCGGGGTGGGGCTACGTCTCAGGTCCCCGAGTGTCGACGATGCATGGGCGATTGGGGTTCGATGCGTCCCCCCCTGAACCTTTTCCCGTCCCTGGTGGTCCTGGGGCTCCAGAAACTCGGGCCTCCGGCGGCCGTCCGATACGAACTGGGCATCCCCCAGAACGCTTTCGGCGAGGCGCAGCTGGTGGATAGCATCCCGAAGCTGGAACGCCGTTGAGAACCGACGAAGACGCCCGAAAACCTCAAACCTCGAACCCCCTCCCCTTCCAGCGCTTGCCCTGACCCAAAATCAGTCGGCATCGAGTCGGGATCGGGCCACATCGGCACGGGGTCGGAATCGAATCGGATCGGCCGCGCCAGGATGCACAGCGGCGCCACGCAAAGCAGTGGGCCGCGTCGGATCGTGGGAATATCGGAATCGAATCGGGTCGGGCTGACCAAAGGCGACGTCGAATCGTATCATCGGATCGGAATAACCGGGGATACCGACCTCTGTCCCAGGCTTTGGGAGGTTTTCGACTGGACCAGAAACTTGGGCCCAACCCTGGCATATGCGATGGGGGGGCGTCCATCCTCGCTATGGGGTGCGCCCGCATAGCCCCCTTGGGGTGCATTCCAAGCCCCCCTCCCCTCTTTCTGAGCGGCCAAACTTATCGAGCTCAACTCTCAGGAAAACGGTTATCGGGTTGGGACGCTGGGGCTGGGGGAAATGAGGATATCTGTACGACCGCCCTGCGGACGATAAGGAGGTTAGGGGGGATTGAGATCAAATGCCCAGGGGGCCGGCAAAAATGAATTGATGGATTGGGTTGGGTAGATTGGATTGGATGGAATAAGATGGATTGGATAAGATCAGATGGGTTGGATTGAAAGATATGTATTGGATGAGATAAGACGGATTCGATTGGCCCGCCGCAGGCGCAGAAACAAATGAATTGATGGATTGGGTTGGATGGATTGGAATGGGTGGGATTAGAAATGATGGGACAATATGGGTTGGATAAGATAAGGTGGATTGGATAAGAAAGGTCGCCGCAGGCGCCGACAACGATGAAGTGATGGATTGGGTTGGGTGGATTGGATTAGATGGGATAAGATGGATTGGATAAGATCAGATGGGTTGGATTAAAAGAAATTGATTGGATAAGATAAGATGGATTGGATTGGCCCGCTGCAGGCGCAGAAACAAATGAATTGATGGATTGGGTTGGATACGATAAGATGGATTGGATTGGACAAGATGGATTGGATCAGATAAGCTGGATTGGATAAGAAAGCCCGCCACAGGCGCCGAAAAAAATGAATTATGAAATTAGCGACATGCGTTAGCGCCAGGACGCCCAGGACACCCGGGACTCCCGGGACACCGCCTGGCCCAACTGGGACACCTCCCGGTCACTGGCGGACGGAAAAGGACTTTCGCTCCTCCTGGCACCCGGGACACCCGGGACACCGCCCGGCCCAACTGGGACACCTCCCAGCCACCTGCGGACGGGAACGGACTTTCGCTCCTACTTCGGCCTAACAGGGGGATCACGCGCAGCTTCGCCTCGCCCGCACGCACGACACGAACACGAAACCGAAACCGATTTCCCGGCGGGGGGTCTCCGTTTCACTGCGATCTCACCCCCCAGCCTCCGATCATTGAACGCAGGCGATCGAAGGTATCGATCACTGAATCCGAATGCTCTTGCTCAAGCCCTTCATCTTGCAAAACACTTCGTCCCAACACGATAAGTATCCTCCTCTAACTCGTGGATACAACAACAACCACAACAACAATCATTTTAAGACTGTTCGCTCCTATCCGCTAACGTGCCAATCAATACGTATGTCCCAAACCTTTGGTACCCGCCCCTGTCGTCTTCGATCGTACCTGCCACGTGTATTTACTGCAGCCCCTAAAACAAGGGAAGAGAGGACGGGTGGAAGGGTGAGGGAGAAGAAGGGAGCACAATAGAAATGAGCAGGAGGGGGGCAAGGAGTAGAAAAGAAGTGGTAGAACCAGACGGGCAGATCGGGTGGGCAGACCCAAAGCGGGCAGGTCGGGAAGGCGGGCCCAGGCGACGAGGTCGAACAGGCGGGTTGCTGAAGCGTGGGTCCTGCATGAATCGCGAGGAAGTCTTGAGCGATAGCGCGATTCCCAAGTAAATCGTGAGAAAAGCCAAAAGCGAGAGCGTGATTCCTGAGCGACGAGGGCGTATCGTCTGAATAAATTGCGAGGAAAACCCACGCGAGAGCGCGATGCGTACATGAACTGTGAGGAAGTCCCGCGCGAGAGCGCGAATTGGGAATAATTTGTGAGGAAATATCAGGCGGGAGCCGTTGCTGTTGTAACTCGGGGGCTAGGGGCCCAGCTTGAGGAGGAAGACTTGCCCTGATAGAAAATAGGGTGCGAGCCCCGGGGGAAGCACTTCAACTGAACAAAAAACACAATGGTCACCGTAAAGTAACAACAGCAACAGCAAGAGCCGCGCCCGGACGGCGCATCGGCAGGATATGTGCACACACATACGAAGAATGTCACTGAGCCTCGGCCGGCCACCACTCCCAGCCTTGCGCAACTGGCGCGCGAGGGTGAGCAGCAACACTCCGTCCGAAGAGGCCGGGGAGGGGGGAGCGGGGAGAGGAGGAGGGAGGAGGGAGGGGAATGGGCAGAGCGAGGAAACTCATCGCAAACACACTGAGTGTTTAGAAGAAGAAATCGCATGAATGTAAACTTTTGGCGCTCCGCTCGGATTTCTCGGATCCGCGCCGGACTCCCCTGCTGGCGCGCGGAGCGCGCCAGGGGCGGCGCCGGAGGCGCCGCCAGGGGGGCCCAGCGCGGATCCAAGAACTCCGCGCGGAGCGCCAAAAGTTTATGTTTATGTGGTTTGTTCTTCTTCGAGTGTCACAACTAAGGGATTGGGGGAGAAGAGTCGCAAGCGAAAGCGCACCCTGCCGACACCCGCCCCGCCCCGCCCCGCGCAGGTCCAAGATCATGCAGAGGGGCAGGCGGGCGCCGGACGGGGCCACGGCGCCCATGCCGCGGTGCGCCGGGTCGATGTCGCCTGGCCCGCGGAGGGGGACGGTGGAGGGGGGGATGGAGGAGGGAGGAGGTAGAGGGAGGAAGTGGAGGAGGAGTGAGGAGGAGTGAGGAGGAGGGGGAGGAGGAGGAGGAGGAGGAGGAGGAGGAGGAGGAGGAAGAGGAAGAGGAGAAGGAGGAGGAGGAGGAGGATATGGAAGAGGAGGAGGAGGAGGAGAAGGCGGAGGATGAGGAGAAGGAGGAAGAGGAGGGAGGAGGAAGAGGAGGAGACGACCGTAGAGAAGGAGGAGGAGGAGGAGGAGGAGGAGGTAGAAGGGAGAAGGGAGGATGAGGAGGGGGGATGAGGAGGAGAAGGAAGGAGAGGAGGAGGAGGAGGAGGACGAGGAGGAGGAGGAGGAGGACGACGAGGAGGGCTCAGGCAAACGCAGCAGCTTCGTCGCCCTGCTGCTTGCCCAGAGGAAACAGAGGGTTCGGCAGGAATGCACCCGTTGCTGCCCATCGGCCTTGGGGGCGGTCTTCCGCGCCTTTTCTGGCGGGCTTCGGCGGCACCTTCGGCGACCTCTGGTGGCCTTCAGCGCGAGAGCTGAACGGCTGCGCTGAATCGGTCGAACACCACCTCCCCACCGTCCTTGTCCGATGCCTTGAGGCCCCCTGTATCAGGAAAGCTGGGCGTCGGGAAGATCCTTGATCCCGAGGGTCTTTCCTGGCACCCAGCCCTCACACACACAGCCAGGGCACGGCGGCATGCAGGAGACCCCAGCGCCCCTGGCGAGGCAGAACGCACACGCGGAAGAATGGGGGGAGGGTGGGAGGCTTCTGTGCTGGACGTGGGTTGGAGTCGAGCGTTGACTGCCAGGCCGCAACAGGATCGAACGAGGGCCCGAGCGAGGCGAACGAGCGGGGGCCAGAGGAAGGATACGACGGGGGGTGTGACGCTCTAATCTAAGACTCTAGGATTACAAGTTCCTTCGCCCCGAGGGGGCACGAGGCCCATGCGGAGGAGTCAGCGGCAGGCACCGACGCGACTGGGGGGGAGGGGAGGGGTGGGGAGAAGGCGAGAGGGGAGCGGGAGGGGAGGTCCGAGGTGGCCAGGAGGGCCCGGCAGGGGAGAAGCACGAGCACGGGAGGGGCAGATGAGGAGGGGGAGGAGGAGGAGGAGGAGGAGGAGGAGGAGGAGGAGGAGGAGGAGGAGGAGGAGGAGTAGGAGGAGGAGGGGGACGAGGAAAAGACGAGAAAGAGGAGGAGGAAAGGAGGAGGAGGAGGATCAGGAGGAGGAGGAGGAGGAGGAGGAGGAGGAGGACGAAGAGCAGGAGAAGGAGGAGGAGGAGAAGGAGGAGAGAGGGGGAGGAAGAACAGGAAGGTTGTTTTCCTCCTAAGGGAGCGCGAGACCGCGGAGAGGGGTGGGGTGACTGCTCTGACACCGGCAGCCGTGCAAGCCGGGAGAGGGCGAGGCCCATTCCGAGAGCGCCCTGGAGGAACAGGACAGTGTTGAGACGAGTAGGAGGCGGATGAGGATGCTGGAGGTGGAGAGGGGGGGAGCGAAGAGAAGAGGAGATACGGAGGGGGAGGATATGAAGGTTAGCGGTGTCGTGGGATAACTACCTACTCTAAGCTGTCTTGCGGGTTCTAGGAAGGGTTTAGGGGACATGGGGATGAGGGAGGCGAGGTGAAGTTGGAACAGGATCGACCCACAAACCCAGAAAGGAATTAGAAACGCGAAGCATGGCTACGTGTTCAAGACACCTGATTGCGCGTGGCAATTGCGTCAAGCAATTGCAATTGCATATAACCCGCCAAGGGCTGTGCTGTGCTGTGCTGGATCGAGACGTCATGCCGCAATGGAGTGCGTTGTGCTCCATCGAGTGTTGTTCAATTCGCCCGTGGCATCCGACTCCTGACCGAACTGATGTGGATATCAAGCTCGAGCTGTCTGGGCGCATAGCTGGCCCTGAACTGGTTGCGGTCGAAACGTGTGGCGGACGCTCAATCAGCTCGAGCTCAGGATCCGACTCAGTCCCGGAGCGGGACGAGACGGCACGAGGCGCGGGGCGCGCGGAGGCGCCACGGAACGTGCCAAGGCGCGCTCGGGGATGCGCCAAGGGACGTGCCGGGGGGAGGGCGGGGGAGGGCGGAGGAGGGCGGAGGAGGGCGAGGAGGAGGGCGAGGAGGAGGGCGGAAGAGGAGGAGGAGGAGGACGAGGAGGAGGAGGAGGAGGGCGGAGGAGGGCGGAGAGGAGGAGGAGGGCGAGGAGAAGGGATGCGCCACGGAACGGGCAGGCAAGCGTCAGGGGACAAGCCAAGGAGCGCGACAGAGGACGAGCCAGGGGACGCGCCCAGAGGGGGAGGGGCACACGCCGTCCCGCTCTGGGGCGTTTGGAACCATGTGTGTTCAGGCTTGTCCCGCTCTGGGGCGTTAGGAACTCCTGTGCTTTTACGTGTCCAGGCCACCCACGGACGGATATCTAACGTGTGGTGGTGGAAACACAAAGCGTTCCAGCTTGGAGCAACCATGTAAGATACCGCCCTGGGTGGTCTGGACACGTGAAAACACCTGGCTCCAGCTCGGAACCACTATGTTGGAACCCCCATGGGTGGCCTGGACACGTGACAACATCTGCTTCCAGCTCGGGGCAACCATGCTCAAAACCGCTCTGGGTGGCCCGGACACGTAAGCACCATGGTTCCAGCTCGGGGCCACCATGGTAGATATCCACCTGGGTGGCCTGGATAAGTGAAAACCCGTGGTTCCAGCTCGGGGCCACCATGCTAGATACCCCTCTGGGTGGCCTGGACACGTGAGAACACGTGGTTCCATCTCGGGGCAACCATCCTGGATACCCTTCTGGGTGGCCTGGGCACATGAAAACACGTGTTTCTAGCGAGGGGCTACAGGAAACCATCTCAGATACCCTCATCCAGGGTGGCCTGGGTACGTCAAAACACATGGTTCCAGGTCGGGACCACCATATTCAATACCCCTCTGGGTGGCTTGGACATGTGAAAACACATGGTTCCAGCTCGGGACCGCCACGTTAGCTATCCACTCTGGGTGGCCTGGACACGTGAGAACACGTGATTCCATCTCGGGACCCTCATGTTCGATACCCCTCTGGGTGGCCTGGGCACGTGAGAACACGTGGTTCCAGCTCGGTGACCCTATGTTAGATACCTCCCTGGGTGGCCTGGACACCTGGAACGAGTGGTTCCAGCTCGGGACCGCCATGTTAGATACCCCATGGGGGAAATCTGGCAAATCGCCGACCGAAGAAACTGTGCCAAGTTATTCCACATCTGGTCGCGCTTGGTTGATCTTGCCTGGCCCTTGTGTGCCCCCCACGTTGGGGGGCCCGAGACGACCACATATTACATATCCCCCCTCCCGAAGTTCGCCCGCACACGGAGTACACGCTGTTCCATCTCGGGGCAGCCATGTTAGATACCCCTTGTGTGTGGCCTGCGCACGTAAAAAAACACGCGGTTCCAGCTCGGGACCACCATGTTCGATACCCCACTGGGTGGCCTGGACACGTCAAAACACCTGGCCCCAGCGCGGGACCACCATATTAGATACCCTCCTGAGTGGCCTGGACACGTGACAACACATGGCTCCATCTAGGGACAATAATGTTAAATACCCTCCTTGGCTACCAGGGCACGTGAAAACAAGCGTTTCGCCTGAGACAGTCTCTGAATTCTGGCCCAGGAGAGGAGCACCCTTTGTTCTGTCCTAGTGTCCTAGGAGTGGAACAACATATAGGACAACGCAAACGTTTCGCTCGAGACATCCACAACACATTCTGCAAAACATGTGTTTCGCTCGAGACATCCGCAACAAACGAACATGCTGACTTTACCCTGTGGTCTATCGATCTGATATGTTTGTGTTAAACGGGGCGTTTCGCTCGGGATACCCGAAAAAAGCAGATCCGCCGGCCCACCCGTTCCTCGATATGTCTAAAGAAGACATGGCCCAGGACATAATACCATCCTGAAACATGACCCTGGGTTTCTGCCCTTTCCGGGGACAACAGGAGGGAGGAGGGAGCAGCGAGGAAGGGAAGAGGGAGGAGACATCGGCAAGGAGGAGGGCATGTAAGAACTACGTGATTCGCACTGGCCCTAGCAGCAGGATCTGGAGTCTGCAAAGCCCAAATTGGGGAGGATTCTGAGCGGTTCTGGGAGCCAGATAGTGGTGCGAAGGAGGAGGAGCAGCAGCAGCAGAAGCAGCGGCAGAGAGAGGGGAAGAAGGGAGGAGGAGGACTGGCAGAGAAGGGAAGGGAGCAGAAGGGAGGAGGAGCAGCAGCAGCAGCACCACCAAGCGGGCGGGAACGAGGTCTGTGGATTCCAGGGGTGACCGTGGGGGCTTCCATGGAGATCCTGCGGTTCTTGGGTGCCATGGCGGGGGCAGGAAGACGCGGAGGAGGAGGAGGAGGACGAGCAGGAGGAAGAGGCGGAGGAGGATGCGGAGGAGGAGGAGGAGGAGGAGGAGGAGGGGGAAGAGGAGGGAGAAAAGCAGGAGGAGGAGGGGGAGGGAGAGGAGAGGAGAGGACGAGGATGAGAAGGCGGGGGAGGAGGGAGGACAGGGAGGAGAAGGACGAGGACGAGGAGGCGAAGGATGAGAAGGAGGAGGAGGAGAAAGGAGGACGAGGAGGAGGAGGGGGAGGAGAAAAGAGGACGAGGACGAGGACGAGGAGGAGGAGGACGGGGGAGGAGACGGAGGAGGAGGAGGAGGAGGAAAAGAGGACGAGGACGAGGAGGAGGAGGAGGAGGAGGACGGGGGGACGAGGATGAGGAGGACGAGGAGGGAGGAGGAGGAGGAGGAGGAGGAGGAGCAGGAGGAGGAGGAGGAGGAGGAGGAGGAGGAGGAGGAGGAGGAGAGAGGAGGACGAGGAGGACGAGGAGGAGGCGGAGCAGGAGGGAGGACGAGGAGGAGGAGGAGGAGAAGGAGGACGAGGAGGATGAGGAGGGGGGATGAGGAGGAGGAGGAGGAGGAGGAGGAGGACGAGGAGGAGGAGGAGTCAGGGCGCAGGAGGGGAAGGAGGGAAAAGAGACGAGGAGGACGCTGGAGGGGCAGCGCCGAGCCATGGCCCCCTCCCCCCCCCCCGGAAGCGGCGCGGCGCCGAGGGGCGCGTAGCCCTCCACGGGGTACTCCATGGGCCCGTCGAACTTCGCGACAGCCGCGAAGCCCTTGCCGCAGAGGTGCGGCTTGAAGCCAACGTCCTTCGGCGGCGAACGGTGGGGGTGAAGTGAGAAAGAGAAGGCGGCGAGCGTCCGGGGGGGGGGGGAGTTGCGGGTTCGAGGTTCGAGGTTCGAGGTTCAAGATTTTCGTTGGTTCTCATTCTCAGCGGACGCCCAGCCTCGAGATACTTGTCAGCAGCTGCGCCTCGCCGAGGGCGTTCCGGGAGGGCCCGGATCGTCCAGAACGCTGTCTGGAGACCCGAGTTATGGCCCAAAAACCAAATTCGGCGGCGAGCAAGGGGGGGGGAAGTGAGAAGGAGAACGCCCTCTCAAAGGCGGCGGGACTTCTCAGAAACGCTCCGTCCTTCTGAGAGGTTGTCTGCCTCTTCGGGGAAGGCTCAGGGCAGGCCGGGGGACTTCCGAGCCTCCTGAGTAGGCCCTCACTTCCCCCCTGGGCTCGCCGCCGAGTCCTGAGACGAGGGCACGGCGACGAGTCAAAAACCCACGCCAGGTGCTGCTCCAAGGTTTCGTCCTTCAGTGGAGCACGAACAAGAACGGTCCCTGGCAGGAACGAGCACTGGTTGGGCGTTGAGGCCTCGACAACCCACGGGGCCCAGTTGGGAGCAAGCCACAACGACGGACGTGCGGGCCCCTCCTCCCCACAAGGCGAGGGCATCGTCCGTGCCACATGGTCCACGGGTGACCCAAGAATCTCCTGGAGAGCAGCCGCAGGTATCCGAAGGACGTGTCGGGCACCGCGGCCGGTCCAGGACCCCCCTGGAATTCCCATGAAAGTGCTCCGGAGAGCCGCGGGGTGGTTTACAGTCATCGCGCTACGCATAGTGAGGAACGAACGGGCTTTTCTGGCCACGGCGGGCCTAGGCTACAAACAGGTTCCACAACATTGATCTAAGAAGCGGCCCGAAAACCTGGGCCCCTCATGAGCCCAACGCGATCCCTACCTCAGCGTCTTGACTGCATGCTCGCCTGCCCGCAGGGCTGCTAGAGCATCTTTCGACGAGGTACGACGACGGCTCCAGCCCTCTTTGCCATGGAAGAGACGAGTTCTGATGGAAACGGGTCCTAGGCCCCAAGGCCCTGCCCTTGGACCGAATCTTCATCCTGAAATATTTGTTGACGGTCCTGGTGCCCATGGAAAAACCTCAGGGCCTGAAAACTGCAAAAAGATAATATCTTGGACCCGTTTCTCTCGGTGCCCGCTTGCTTCATGGCGACAAGCTTTCTGGGTAGCGAATTTCGACTGCGACCGCCGTTAGAAGGACTGTCTTCGGGAAGAGGCCCCTTCCAGAACGAACACTTTCGGAAGCAACCCGTCGGGATGCGAGGGTGGAAATAATCCTCGTGGTGTTGCTCCGTCTCTCGCGCGCTGCACCGCACTGTCTGCTCCCTCTCTCGCGTGCACTGCACGGCACGCGGCCGTGCATGCGGCAGGACCTGGAGTCCGACATGCGTTGCCATCAGAACAGCGGCTGACGCCAGGAGCAAACTGGGGACACCTCTGGGATGGTCGCGTGAAGCGGGGCGGGGGGAAGCGAAACAGCAGCGCTAGGTATGCCCAATCACTTCGGAACAAGACAAGACGTTACCACCGCCACCAGCGCGCGTTATGGCCCAGAGGGTAACAGAAACACTCTCGTCGAAGGACGGGCCGCAGAGTCCTCCAGGTCCGACGGCAGCGTGAAGGCGACGCCCAGGTCCTTCCCGTTCTTGAAGAAAGAGATGGTGTGGGCGTCGTGGTCGAGCAGAGCCCCTATGACGTCGCCCTCCTGGCACGGTCGGGCGGCCGCCAGGGGATCTGCGAGGAATGGCCCAACGGATCGGGATTTGCCTCATCCTCCTCCTCCTCCTACACCTCCTCCTCCGCCTCCGCCTCCTCCTCCTCCTCCTCCTGCTCCTCCTCTTCCTCCGCACCATCCTCAGCTTCACCTTCATCCTCCTACTATCATCGTCATCCTCAGCATCACCACCACCACCATCATCAGCATCATCATCATCAACAACACCACCATGACCACCATCATCATCATCCTCATCATCATCATCAGCAGCAGCATCGGCATCATAATCAGCATCATCACCACCAGCATCATCACCCTCATCGTCGTCGTCATCAACAGCATCACCATCACCACGATCATCATCGTCGTCAGCATCATCATCAGCAGCAGCAGCATCAACACCATAATCATCATTATCATCCTCATCCTCATCCGCATCATCACGATTTCCATCATCGTCATCATCAGCATCATCGTCGTCAGCATCATCATCAGCATCAGCATCGTCGTCATCAGCATGGTCACCATGATCAGCAGCAGTATCCGCAGCATAATCGTCATCGAAATCCTCATCTTCACCACCATCATCAGCATCAGAGCATCTGCAGCACCATCATCATCACCATCATCGTCAGCATCTGCATCATCATCACCAGCATCATCATCATCATCATCATCATCATCATCATCGTCATCGTCATCATCAGTACCATCGTCATTGTCATAATGATGATGATGATCATCATCATCATCATCAGCAACAACATCATCAGCATCATCCTCATCATCTGTATCCTCATACTCATTAGCATCCTCCTCATCATCAGCAGCATCACAACCACCTTACATATCAGCATCCTCATCATCACCAGCAGCATCAGCAGCTGCATTATTACCATCAGCATCAGCATCATCATCAGCATCATGATCAGCATCATCATGATCATCATGATCACCATCATTATCAACATCCTCATCATCGTCACCCTCACCGCTATCAACCTCAGCATCGTCATCACCTACACCTTCCTCCTCGTCCTCATCATCACCACCAGCATCACCATCATCATCACCACCATCATCATCGTCATCATCATCCTCAGCATGCACATCATCAACATCCTCAGCCTCATCCTCGTCCTCATCCTCACCCTCGTCATCATCAAAATCCTCCTCCTCCTCCTCCTTCTCCTCCTCCTCGTTTTCGTCATCGTTGTGGTCGCTATCGTCGTCATCGTCCTCACCAGCAGGTGCGGCGGCCCGCGAGCGGTGGCACGGCGGCGCCCTCCTGGTAGGCCTCGCCGTAATCGTCGAAGGCCTTGTTCCAGCTCTTCTTGCCCGTAGAGCCGAAGCCGAAGCTCTTGCTCTCCAGGCCCAGCTCCAGCTTCGTGCTGCCCGCGCTCCAGCCGACGCGCAGCAGGCCCGAGACTACCTCGACCTCGCACTCGCGCGCGCGCTGGCCCGATCCCTCCTGCTCCTCCTGCTCCTCTTCTTCCTCCTCCTCCTCCTCCTCCTCCTCCTCCCTCCTCCTTCCTCCTCTCCTCCTCCTCCTCTCTCCTCCTCTCTCTCCTCCTCCACCCCCTCCTCCCACTGCTCCTACTCATCCTCCTGGTCCTCTACTCCTGCTCCTGGTCCTCCTCCTTCTCCTGGTCCTCCTCCTTCTCCTCCTCCTCCTCCTCCTCCTCCTCCTCCTCCTTCGCCCCATCCTCCTCCCCCCTCCTTTTGTCTCCGCCCTCCTCCCCCTCCTCCTTCCCCGTTGCCCCTAGCAGCGGCCTCCGGCGGGCGCAGCACCGCAGTCTTGCACGGTGGGGTCGGGGGGGGAGGGCCTCCAAAGGCTCCATAGATGGTTCCACGGTCGCCCAAGACGACCCCCCAGAGGCCCCAAGACGCCGCCCGCACCGCCCACGATGATCCAGCAAGGCCCAAGATCGATCCCCAAGATGCCCCCGAGAGTCCCAAGACGGCCCTCCAGGAGACCCCCTGGCCCAACACACAGGCTGATGGCCGCTCCGAAAAGTCGTGGCGGGCTGGGAGGTGGGGACGCCGGCGCCCCCTCGCGGCACAGCACCCCTGGAATCCTGGCTGGCGTTCCCTGCGCCCCCTTCTCTTCGCTCCGCCCCGTTAACCCTGTTCCTCCACCCGGGTGTTGCCAGAACTGTCCCGAGCTCAAAATGCCCCTAGGATTTCCGAGGCGGCCCCCAAAGCCTCCAGAGCACCCCATCACGAGGCCAAAAGGGCCCCAGGGGCTGCAAGATGTAGCGAGAAGCTGGGAGCTCCTTGGGCCAGGGACAGGCGTGGCAACTCCCGAGCCGCCTCCTGCTCTTCGGCCTCCTTCTGGGTCGCCCTCCGCCTGCTCACCGCGGCTCCCGCTCGCCGTGCACTCCTGCTGCTGCTGCTGCTACTGCTGCTGCTGGCCCTCGTTCCTCTTCCTCCTCCTCCTCCTCCTCCTCCTTCTCCTCTTCCTCCTCTTCCTCCTCCTCCTTTCCTCCTTCTCTTCCTTATTTACGCTAGACCGACCTAAGATTTCCCTGTGGCGTTCTTGAAGGGAAAAAGTATAGCACGATTCGGGTCAAGATGCGTCGGGCGAGCGCCGCGGGAAATGAGATAAGTAAAGCTAATGCCGAAATAATAGAAGCGAGTAGGCGCCCGCCAGGTCCTAGAGGTTGGCACTGACCTTAGAAACCAAATACCCCCATAGTAGAACATAAACACATGCAATTTTAATCCCCAATATTACAAGGTAGTGCCACCTCAACATACAAGAAACAGTACCCATGCCGTGAACAACGCCGCACTGAGCGGAGGGTGCCATATCGCCTTACGAATGGGCAGATTGCTTACGCAGAGGGTTTGGTACCTAAGCAAAACCAGTGTCATTTTTACAAGTACGCTGAGATTGCAAGTAGAGAAAGTATGCCGTATAGGCGTGGCGCCGCGCCGCCAAAGAGAGTTGCTGCCGTCGTCGGGCCCAGTGAAAAAAAGCTGCGCGCAATTCTGTGGACCGAGGCGGTGTGCAAGTAAGAGCTGCAGTGTAAAAAAAAGTGGAGTAGTCTCGCCAAAAGGAACAGTTGCTGCAATAGGGTGCCCCCACATCCCACCCAGCTCTCGCCAAACGCCGCTAATCCCTCTTCCTGGTGTGCGCCGCTTGGCAAGCTGCGTGAGAAAAAAACAGATGGCGGTAAATAAGCTGTGAAAAAGGTCCCTCCTGCCAGCAGCCGGCCCGCTCTCTTGGCCAGCACTCGGCCCGCTCTCTTGGGTTCCCAGGTGGAGGGGCCACCGTCACAATATTTCTGTCAGGAGTGCGGGGTAGGTACGCGGAGGGGGAGCGAGGGTGGGTCGACTGCGTGCGGTCTGGTAGGCTGGCCCATGATGTCGAAGGCTGGCCTGTACGCGGTACGCTGTATATACCCGCCCTGCAAATTGATACAGGGTTTTGTAGAATCACCCCGGACCTGCGCTGGAAAAAGATGCCACCAGCGTGTCGGAACGTGAGCGAAAGACGGGGTTGTAAAGCAGCGCGGTGACAGAGGGAAGAGTGGTTTCCGATAAGTGGGCTGGCCTGTGTGGAGGCTGGCCTGGTGCAAAACAAATCAGCTGAACGAGGTCAAGTCGGCTTTGCGGGGCCTACCTCTGTAGGGAACCAGGTGTTGGTGCTGATGGGGTTTTTGTGGCTGACCCCTAACCTTGCAAAAAAAAGGTTCACCTCCACCGCCGCCATCCGAACCCCCTCCCAATCTCCCCGAGATGTAGTAGGAAGAGTGTCGAGAAGCGCCGGTGAGAAAGGCTGGGGCTTCAAGTGGGAGGGTGCTATTATCAGTACCTGTGCGCCCTCTGGCTCGGAGTAAAAGGAGGGACCACCTTGGGTGTTCCTCGAAGTCGGCTGTTAGCGTCTAGCCGCAATTGGGTACCGTGGACACCGTACACAACAAGTATATAACGAAGCCATCGGAGAGGTCTGGGCGGTAGCACACTTGGCCTAAAAAAGTGTCTTGACATTGGATGTACGCGCAATGATGTTGCCGTGGGGTTTCGTGGATAACCCTTAACCGTCCAACAAAAAAATGTGCATCCTGGGGCTGCCATCCAGGGTTTTGTAGGTAGCCTCGAACTTGCATCTGGGAGCGCGCCACAAGCGTGTCGGACGAGCTGCGAGGGAAAGGACAGGGCGTAAAGCTGAGGACTGACAGAGGAAAGAGTGGCTGCCGATTAGTAGGTTGACCTGTATGAAGGCTGGCCTGGTGCAAAAAATCAGCTCAACGAGGTCAAGTCGGCTTTGCGGCTTTGCGGGGTTTACCTCTGTAGGGATGCAAGTGTTGGTGCTGTTGGGACTTATGTGGCCGACCCCTAACCTCGAAAGAAAAAACTTCGCCTCCACCGCCACCATCGAGGCCCCCTCCCAATCCCCCGATGTAGGAAGAGTGTCGAAAAGCACCGGTGAGAAAGGCTGGGGCTTCAAGTGAGAGGGTGTTATTATTAGTACCTGTGTGCCCTTGGGCTTGGAGTAAAATGAGGGACCACATTGGGTGTCCCTTAAAGCCGGCCGTTCGTGTCTTAACGCAATTCAGTACCGTAGAAACCTTACACAACAAGTAAATAACAAAGCCTTCGAAGTTGTCTGGGCGGTAGTACACTTGGCCTACAAAAGTGCCTCGACTGTGGATGTACGCACAGTGATGTTGCCGTAGGGTTTTGTGGATAACCCCTACCCTTCCGAAAATAAATGTGCAATCCTAGGGCTGCGACCCCGGATTGTGTAGGATAACCCCGAACCTTCCTCCTCCTCCTCCTCCTCCTCCTCCTCCTCCTCCTCCTCCTGACATCCTGACATCCTGACGGCATGAGAATCCTCCCGTACGCTGCCAAGCCCCCCCCCCCGCCACACTGTTTGGTGTGCGAGGGGAGACATTCTGAAAAACGGCACGCTCGGCCGTAGGTGTCAGTAGTGCTGAAGGCGGCGGCGCTGCTGCTGGAGTCAGCGGTGCTAGAGTCGGAGGCTCTGCTGGGTTCAGCGAGGCTGCTGGGGTCTTTTGTGATGCTGGAGTCGCTTGTGCTGCTGGAGTCGGCGGTGCTGCTGGAGTCGGTGGTGATGCTGGGGTCGGCGGCGCCGCTGGAGACGGTGGCGCTGGAGTCGGCGGCGCTGCTGCCGAAGGCAGGGATGCTGCCGGAATCGGTGGTTCTGATGAGCTCGGTGGTGTTGCTCGAGGAGTCGGTGGTGCTGCTGGGGTCAGCGGCGCTAATGCCGAAGTCGGCGGTGTTGCTGGAGTCGGTGGTGCTGTTAGGGTCGGTGGTGCTACTGGAGGCGGTAGTGCTGGAGTCGGTAGCGTTGGTGCCAAAGTCTTTAGTGTTGATTTCAGTGGTGCTTCTGAGGACAGTGGTTATGGTGGAGACTGTGCTGCTGCTGGAGTCGGTTGTGCTGCTGCTGCTGCAGTCGGTGGCGCTGCTACTGTTGGGTGGGGTCGGTAGCGCTTCTGCCGGAGCCAGCGGTGCTTCTGTAGTATGTGGTGCTGCTGGGCTCGGTGGCGTTGCTGCGGGTCTTGTTGCTGCTGGAGTTGACGTCGCTGAGGGTAGTGGTGCTGCTGGGATCGGTGATGGAGCTGGCGTCGGTGGCGCTTCTGTCGGAGTCTGTGGTGCTGCTCGAGTCTGTGGTGCTGCCGGAATCGGTGGTGCTACTGCAGTCGGTAGTGCCACTGAAATAATCTGCGCTGATGCCGGAGTCGGCGGTGCTCCCAGCGTCGGCGGTGCTCCCTCGTACAAATCGCTCTTGTGGCTGCTGTGGTTGTCGTGGTAGCCGGTGGCCGCCGCGGTGTGCTTGCACATAAGAGTCGCTACCGTGGTCGTTGTGGCTGTCGTGATGTCCGCCGTGGTGTGCTTGCAAGTGGGAGGCGCTGTCGTAGCTGTCGTGGCCGTCGTGGTGGCAGCCGTGGTGTGCTTGAACGTAGGAGGTGCTGTCGTGGCTGTCATGGTGGTCACCGTATTGTGCGTGTCCGTAGTACCTGTCGTGGTGGCTGTCGTGGTGGTTGGTGGTTGTCGTGAAGAATACAGCGGCGCTTGGTGGTTGCCGCAGTGGTTGTCGTGTTGCTTGGCGGCAGTCGTGGCGGCCGTCTTTGTCTGTCGGGATGCCTGTCGTGGTGGCAACCGTAGTGGCTGTCGTGTTGCTTGTGTGCTGGTCAGTATTCCGCTGGTCGTTGGTCTGCTTTGCTGTGGTCTGCTAGCGTGGGTGGATCGCGGGCTGGGTCGTCGGATAGGGGGTGGTGCCGGTGGTCGGCGATTCGAACCTGTCGGAGTCGTGCTGTTCGTCGTTGGCCGCGTAGGACAGCTGGCTTCGGTGCTGTCGTGAAGGCTGCTGCGGGTGCCTGTGCTGGTGTAGGTGCTGGAGCCGATGGTGTCTGTGCTGGTGTGGGTGCTTTGCTGGTCAGAGGTCTGTAGCTTGCTGATCGGTGGTCGTGTGTGCCGTGCATGTCGTGAGAGGCAGTGACGTTGTCATCATGAAAGCCGCCTGAAGTCCGTGACGGCGGAGACGGCAGCGCAGGCAAACAAATGCATGGCGCACCATACGCTGGAGGGGCGGTACAAGCCATAACGCAGGCATGATTGGTGGGTGGGGTGGGAGTTGGAGTCGGCGGTCAGTGGCCTGCTGGTGATCAATTTGTGATCTGCTGGTCGGTGTACTGTGGCCTGCTGGTCAGTGGGTCTGCCGGTCAGTCGGTGGTCTGTGGTCTGCTAGTCGGAGGGTCTGCTAGTCGGTGGGTGTGAGGCTGTGTTGTGTGCTGCTGTGTGGGCGAACGTATATGGCAAGAAGCAGCGAGGATGGCGATGTCGGCGCATGATGGTGGTCGCTGCCGCCTCGCTGCGTAGCCCATGCGGCGGATGGCCGCACGGTGCCTAGGCCTTGAAGGCCCCATCTCGGTCTCGTGGCCGCTCGTCGTCTTGTAGCGGTGCCGGTGCTGCTCCGCCAGTCCTGGCGGCTGAGCGGGAGGCGCCCTGCCGGCCTGGACGAAGCAGATGAAGCACGCGAAAGCGGAAGTAGAGCGGGTCGACGTAGACGTCGGTGTAGAACGGACGCCAAGGGCGCGAGGGATTGCCCAGCGGGCCATAGCGGCTGTGGATCGCGGGCTCCGCGTCAGCCATGGCGCGGCGGGCGCCGCGCCTGCCGCCGCCCTTCGGGTCGCTCCTGCCCCCGGGGCCACCGGCGGCAGGCCGGGGGCCAGCGCGCCCACGCACGCGGCGGCGGCGAGAGCCGTCCCCGCGCGAGCCAGACGAGGCAGCGGCGGCACAATGCCTGGCGCCACCAGGCGGCGCGACCACGCTCACCTGCGGCAGCGCCGTCCGGGCGACGAAGCCACCGTCGGCCGCGCCCCTGCCCTGGACGAGGCTGGCCGGGGGAGCGCGGGCGGTGGGGTCGGCACTGGGCTGCCGCCAGCCTGCGCGCGCGGGGTGCTTGGGCCAAAATGGCTGCGGAACTCATCTTCCTCCTCAACCTCCTCCTCCTCCTGCTCCTCCTCCTCCTCCTCCTCATCCTCCTCCTCCTTTTCCCCTGTCCTCCTCCTCCTCCGCCTACACCTCCTCCTCCTCCTCCTCCTCCTCCTTCTCCTCCTCCTCCTCCTTCTCCCCCCACGCATCCTGCTCCTGCTCCTGCTCCTCCTGCTCCTCCTGCTCCTCCTGCTCCTCCTGCTCTTTCTCTTTCTCCTCCTCCTCCTCCTCCTCCTCCTCCTCCTCCTCCTGCGACCTCGTACATGTACTTGCCCGCCGTGACCTCGAACGTCCCCCGGACCCCGTTCCAGCGCTTGCCGTCCTCGCTCTTGCACTCGAGGGCGTCCTCCGTGATGTGCACGGCCACGTCCTTGTCGTTGACGTCCAGCTCGCACTTCGTGTTGGAGCCGGTCGACTCGGTCGTCTTGCACTTCCCGCACAGGTTCTCGTGAACTATCTGCAGACAGGGCAGGCCGAAGGCACCAGTCTTGCCGCTCCCCGTCTCCGCGGAGGCAAGGACGTCACCGCCCGTGAGGATTAGCGGTATAGCCTCCTGCTGCACTGCGGAGGGCAGCAGCCAGTCGTCCTCCTCGATGGCCTGGATGATCTCCGGGCATATGCCCAGCTCCTCGAAAGCGCTTTTGCACTCCAGTCCACCCGATTCGGGGCACCTCATCCCATCCGCCCCATCCCTCCCGCCTTCCCCCCCCCCTTCCCCCCGCACAAAGGCACGTGCAGACCCCCGCGCCTGACGCGACCCCACGAGGGGTCACGGACCCACCCCCCGGGGCCGGATCGCCATCCCGAGTCGCTGTCTGACGGCCCCAAGGCCCGGTGAGGGAGTCCAGAGGCCGAGAACTGCGAACCGCTGCCCGTCCCAGGGCTTCTCTCCTCCTCCTCCTCCTCCTCCTCCTCCTCCTCCTCCTCCTCCTCCTCCTCCTCCTCCTCCTCCTCCTCCCCCCTCCCCCTCCTCCTCCTCCTCCTCCTCCTCCTCCTCCTCCTCCTCATCATGGCCCGAGGGGGCTCTGGGACGCCCGCCCCCCGCGGCCACGCTCCCGGGCGCCCCCTGAGCGGGCGGCAACGGGCCCCCCTCCGCACGTGCCGGGAGGCGCGCCGGTGCCGAGAGGTGTGTCGGCCGAGAGATCCGCCACGCGGAGTCGACCGCGGGCCTGCGCGGGTGCAGAGGATAGAGGAAAAAGACCTATGCACATACACCGATTCGGGCCAGGCCCATCCTGAGCCCAGGATCGGTGCATACGCCCTCCTACCTTGGCCAGGAAGGCGTATGCACCGATCATGGGTCAAGGATGGTCCTTGCCAGGATCGGTGCATGTGCATAATTCTCTTCGCCCGAGAGGAGCGGCACTCCGCTCGCCCAGCGGGGCCGGAGCGGGACTCCAAACGGTGCGCAGCGGGCGTCGGCGGAGGACATTCTGCACGGGCGCCGAGGGGCCCAGACCACGTCGTGATCTGTTTCATGGCGCGGCCCCCAGAGGTCTGGACCCGTTCCCCGGGACCGGTTTCTCAGGCCGAGTCGTTTTTTGACGGTCCCGAGGGCCGGTAAGGGCCCCCAGAGGCCGAAAACATAGAAGAACCTTCCGTCGTGATTTTGTTCATGACTCGAGGGGAGCTCGATCGAAGAGCAGCAAGAGCAGGAAGGTACACGTCGTGCATTTCTAACCGTGCTCATTTCTCATTGTGCTCGTTTCTCCTTGTTCCTGGCCCCCTAGTGGCCAGGAAGAGGCCCAGGATAGCACAATTAAAAATGAAAGGATCTTGGCCCCCAAAAATATCGAAGAGCTTTCGAAATATTAAAAATGAATAGTGTGTAGCGAGACCCAAGCAGTCCAGCCTGAGTTCGATCTCCCGAGCCCTCGTCTCGTCCAGCAATGCTTTTTCAGCCTGTCCTCCAACGAACCTCTGGCTGGCGCCACCCGGACCAAATCTTCGGCCTCTCGGGGCCCTCAGCGGCCTTCGGGACCGTCGGAAAACGACTCGGGCCGAGAAACCGGTCCCGGGGAAATGGTCCGGACCTCTGGGGGTCGCGGCAGGACAAAATCATGACGTCGGGGGTATGGGTCTGTCCCGCGCCCAATCTATGTAAACTGTCCGTATCTGACCTGCTTGGGCAACCACATGCGGACCCTGCCGTTGCAGGTCTGGCGTCTGAAACTCAGGCTGGGGCTCAGAACTGGGAGGATGTCTGCAGCCAGGCGAAGCCGAGCAAGGTTGTCCGATACCTCTGCGCCAAGGGTACAGTCATCATGCTACCATGAGGAGCGCAGAATAAGGAACGGAGTGGTGTTCTGGCCACGGCAAATTCGCTTCGGCCCACCCATAGGTAAACGACCTAAACCTAAGGAATGGCACGAAAGGCAGAGCCCCTGCCGAGCCCCGGGTGATCCTCGGTTGGAGGCGGACGGGGGATCTGAACTGGTCGGGGCCCTAGCACATCAGTCGGGAGGGTGGGAGGATGCCAAATCCGCTCGAAATCGGTCCTCGGACGCCTCCTGGGCGGGGTCCATCTGGTGCTAAGTTTCACCCTGGATCCGTTTTTGATGGTCCCCAGGCCCGATAACGGCCCCCAGGGGCCGAAGACGACAACATGATCGACCCACGAAGCTGGAATGGCGTCTTGAAGCGCGAGGCACAGCTACGTTTTCAAGACGCATGACTGGGCGACAGACAGTTTGCAATGCTGAGGGTATCGATCGTGATGCACTGTGCCAAAGATTGTGCTGTGCTGTGTCGTGCTGACATGAGATGTGTCATGCCGCGATGAATTGCGTTGTGCTCCATTGCGTTGTGGATCAAGCCGCCATTGGCATCCGAATCCTGACCGAAGTGATCTAGATCGTAAGCTCGAAACGCCTAAGCGCATAGCTGGCCAATAGCTGGTTGCAGTCGAAAAGTGTGGGACGCTCAATCAGTTCGAGCTCAAGATCCGACTCTGTTCCGAAGCGGGACGAGACGAAACCGGGCGCAGGACTTATTGACGCGCCACGGAGCGCGCCAGGGCGTACTAGGGGACGAGCCAGGAGACGTGGCAAGGGAGGCGCCACGGAACGGGCAGAGGAAGCGCCAGGCGACAAGCCAGGGAACACGACAGAGGACGAGCCTGGAGACGCGTCACGGGACGCGCCGAGGGGCGTGCCAGGGGGCGTCACGCCACGGCACGTCACGAGAGACGCGCCAAGAGACGCGCCAGGGGACGCGCCACGGAACGTGCCAGTGGACGTGCCAGGGGACGTGCCAGGGGACGCACAGCGCGATGTGCCAGAGAAACGCGCCACGTAACGTGCGAGGAAAGATTCGAGCCCTGAGAGACGGGCAATCTACAGGAATACGAGCAAAGCACGAAGGATCTCAGCCTGGAGAAGGAATAGTAATTACTAATACTAATACTAATAATAATAGTAATAATAATACTAATAATAATAAGAATGATGATAATAATAATGATACTAATAATTATTATTAATAATAATAATCATAATAATCATACTAATAATAACAATAATAATAGATGTACAGCACATAGGATTATAGCCCCAAGAGAGGGACAATATATAGAAATACACGTAACACCCTACATACCAGAGCCCCAGGAGAAGGGGCAATCGATTGGCATATACGTACGCAACGGATTCGAGCACCAAGCGAAAGGCAACATGCAGGAATACGCGTACAACACTGAGGATTCCAGACCCAGGAGAGGAGGCAATCTTACGAACACGTGTAAGCTCGGGCAACCATGTTAGATACCGCAATGGGTGGCCTGGACACGTCAAAAGTGACTCCAGCTCGGGACCACCATGTCAGAATCCCCCCTGTGGCCTGGACACTTGGAAACACATGGTTCCAGCTCGGGGTAACCATGCTAGATGCCGCCGTGGGTGGCCTGGACACGTGAAAACACGTGGTTCCAGCTCGGGACCTCCATGTTAGATACCCCTCTGGGTGGCCTAGACAAGTGGGAGCACGTGGTTCCAGCTCGGGACCACCATGTAAGATACCCCTCTGGGTGGCCTGGGCACGTGAAAACACGCGGTTCCAGCGAGGGGCAAGCAGCAACCTTCTTCTTGGATGCCCCCTTTGGGCGGCCTCGGCATGTAAGAACACGCGGATCCAGCTCGTGACCACAATGTTAGAGACAGCCCTGGGTGGCCTGGACATGTAAGAATATGTGGTTCCAGCTTGTAAATAACGGTCCGATCGCAGTCCCAGAAACACACTGGCATCCTGGGGCGCCCAGGCGTTTCAGGCGCTGCAAAACAAGCGTTCCGCGCGAGACATCCAATTCGGTACGCAGGGCGCGCCATCTTCGAGCGGGCACGCCAAAAGTCAACATTCCTTCTGCAAAACAAGCGCGGGGCTCGAGGCATTCTCGAGAAACCTGCGCGCAGGGCGCGCCGTCCTCGAGCGCCCACACGCGAGACGCACTTCTGTTAAACCGAATGGGTCTTCACCTCGTTATGGATCGCAAACAACTCCGCGTCGTTTATCGCAAATGACTCCGTCGGCCCTGCGCAGGTCGAGGCCAAAGGGGTAAAACCTCTGCAAGAAAGCCCTGGGCCACTGCCCTTTCCGGGAAAAGACCTCCCCGGACCCAGTAGTACCTCGAGGCAGCCCGCCCTTCCCTGAGATCCGGCCTTGCAGAGAGACTGCAACATCGCAAAAATGACGACCGAAGCTCCGGACCCCATCTTTCTGGGTCATTCTCTCCCCGTCGCTCGGACGTCCATTCCGTGTGCTTTTGTCGGTTTCGTGCCATCCCCGCCGAGAAAAAGTGCACACGTCCGAGCGATGCCAAGCTCTTCGAGCCGGATCGATCTGTGAGGGCCCCCGGGCCCGAAATGAATCGAAAGCACCCGCTGTCAAACCAGTGCCACGCCAGGATCTCAGGGTTCCTGCTGGCTGGAACCAGTGCTGGGCCACCTCCGACCCCCATAGCCAGCTCCGAGTCGTCAACATCTTGAGTGTACACTTTCGCAAGTGGCCGCGGGCCGCTGCTGCCCCTGCCTGCTCGTGCGGGGGGGGATCCTCGAAGGCGCTCATGCCGGCATCCACGCGGCTCGGGCTCGGCAGCGGAGGGGCGCAGAAGGGGGGGGGGCTCGGCGCCCTGTGAGGTCGTGGGCCGCAGGGCCGAAACGGCCAGAGGGGCGAGGGCGGCTCGAAGGCGCTGGTGGCGAAACGGCGTTGCTGATGCGAGCGAGATGCGATTCTGCTGGACCACCGCCACCGAGAACCCGTCGGTAGGGCTCTCGAGCTCCAGGAGGTACTCCAAATCCCTTATTAATCGTCCCCCAGGGCTAGATTTTTTAAGCCCCAGGGTTCGGTTTTTAAGGCGCCTTGTTCGTAACTGGGGGGTCCGGCTCATTAGGGCGCTCTCCTTGGATTGGAGCTGAGGGGGTCCGGTTATTGAGGCGCCCCGTCGAAGAGGGGGGTCCTGAATATCAGGTCGCATCTGGAGGAGGTTCCGGTTTTTTAGGGGGGGGGTCGATTAATCAGAACTGGAGCAGGTCTGCTGAGGGGATTGGGCGCCCTGGCTTTCGACCTTCTGCCTGCCCCTTTCCCCGGCGCCATTCTCAGCCCCGCGTCGAGGAGCGAGAACAGGGCGTCCCTCGGCGTACCCGGGCGGCGGGCTCTCTCGGTGGCGGTGGCCCTCACGCTGGT